GTTAGGCATCGGAGGCCCGACGTCGGGACCACCCCCGGCGTTGGGTTCTTGCAGGTATGGAGGTCGTTCGAGATGAAGCTCGGGTGAAATCTATTTCACTTCAGGATCATAATCGTGATAGAAATGGACAAACTTATCGGTATGTTTATAATATAATTTGAGTTTGTTTATCTTAACTAATAAATTATTCTAGTACACTTTGTGTGTATCAAGTTGGATCATGGTAGAAAAGTTTATTTTATACTGACCTAGTAAAGACACTAGATCTAATGATATCACTCATACTCTAAACCAGGATGATTATAACAAGCATGCGTATTTGATAATTTTTCTTTAATTCATCAAAGGGTGAGACTTACTCATTAAGTCAGTAGGCTATGTCAGTTAGAATTTTAAAAAATTATTTATTACATGGTGTGCTACAATGCTGTTGATTATATTTGGTCATTGTATTTTGGTGCGCCAAGATGATGACATCCCCAAAATGAGCTCAAAAAGATTATTATTGTTAAACCCTATAAGTGGATTAAATCCTGGTATAGTGATAAGTTGAGTGTTACTAGTTTTGGAAAAATAAAGATGTTAATTAATCAAATTGTTAGTAATTAAATTACTTAATGGAAGTTCGAAATTTTAAACACGAGGATATATATCTAGTATAGTGGAGCCAAAGTAATTTGGGTTTGGGAAACGTAGTTCAATAATAAAGCTGGAGTGGACTGCTTTATTGTTCATGGGCTAATGAATAGGATGGTTCGTAACCCAAGAATCCTTTTTTTATATTGAAATACATAACTCAAACCTCCTTAAGGTCCATGCTGCTGTAGCGTATAAATACATTATATGGGGGTCTCATTCTCATGCAAGAAATGTAATATCACGACACCCCTCATATAGATATAAACATGAGATTGTTGAGCAAGACAGGGAAGGACGCTGAGCATAAGGAGTGTGGGAGATCGCCGCCCACACAACGCCTTTTGGTTTTACTCGTGAATTCATCCCGCCTTGCTTTTATTTTAGACTTAAATAGAGCTTCTATTCTAAATTAATTGATGAAAGTTTATTTTTTTTCAACTTAATCACAAATCACAAAGGTAAATGGACAGAATTGAAATATTTTAAATTTTGAAGGTGATGTTGCTTCTTTGAGGGATGATTGCTAGTTGTTAACTACTTAATTTTCTAAGCCAGTAAATTTTTGGTGATTTAGCAATAATTTTGTTTAGATGGTCACCTTAATCAAAGATAATGTACTACTTTGACCTTCAATTTTGTGCAGTTTAAAAAGATTACCAAAATTTAATATTGATACGTTTTTGTTGGTGTGTGCGCGTGTGTATTTCTGACATTTATACATAAGTCACCTCACAAGGTCAAAAAACATGGATCATGCTTGTATACAAGAAATCTAAAAACAATTCCAATATTTTAACTCAATCATTTATTTTTAATTCAACCACACTATCATCAATATTACCAATATAATTAAATCATATAAATCAATCATACATATACACCACATCAACTTTAATTCATTATTCATCCACTCACATTATTTTAACTTACCGTCACTTCAAACCATCTATCTCATACTTTTACATCAAATCAATTTTAATTATTTTATTTTAACTATTATTTTAATATTCCCACGAACAACTAACCATACTACCTTTTTCAAA